TTGTCTCCTGACTAGTAAGAGCTATTTTGCTAAAGTTGGTTTCTAGACCAGTGGAGCAAGAGATTGTTATAGGACATATTGTAGCGGAGTACTTGGCAGTTCTTTTGACAAAGTCTCTCATTATGTCTTTGTGTGATGGAGGAATGTGTGCAGCAGAGACTAGATGATATTACTGGGAAGGGTTCAACAACCAGAGAGGACAGACTCACAGATTATGTTAAACTTGTAGGCTTTCACAGTATGTCTTAATGTTTGCCCTTGGTCTATTCAAGGTTTTCAACAATAATCACTCCTTCCTTCCTTCCTTCCTTCCTTCCTTCCTTCCTTCCTTCCTCCCTTCCTTCTGTCCTTCCCCCTCTCTATTTTTCTCTATTTCTTTTTTTCTTTTGTGACATGGTCTCTCTACATAGCCCTAGTTGTCCTGGAAACCACTATGTAGACTCTGGCCTGGAACTCACAGAGATCCACCTGCCTCTGCCTCCTAAGTGCTGGGATTAAAGGCATGCACCACCATGCTTGGCTTCACCAGTAACTTTTCAATGTGAAGAGAGAGCATATATTTTGAGATGTGAAAAGACCTAAGTTGGGAATAGCTAATTCATTGTTGTCAGGATTCTTAAACCAATGAGATATTTATAATGGACTGAAACCAACAGGAAATTTCTTGACAGATATGAAAGGAAAAAAATCCCAATAAGACAAGTACAGAGTGAAAGAACTATGGATAACACAAGAGAACAGCATTCCCCACAATGCTCAGCTGAGCATTAATGCATTGTGGTACTCACAAACCTTGTAAACTAGACGTGAATAAAGTTCTTGAGGTCACTAAATAGGGAAAATTTGAGGTCAAACAGTTTCACTTGGTTTTTCACTGATGACCTTCATTTTTAATATGTTAAAATATTAAGTATTTTAAAGTGTTAAGTGGTTTAAGAGGTGGGTATATGGTATAATTACATTGATTAATCCTTAATTAACTAACCTAGTTTTCATAAAACATTTTGCTGGATGTACTGGAAAGCACTCACCCAGAGACTTGAGTTGAGCAGAAATTGTAGTTTAGGTCAAATAAAAGGGATCCATTACCCTGTACAGAACAATGGAGGTATCATTCCCAGTAGAACATATTTGGAAAATTGTTTATTGAAGGATATTGGCAAACATGCCACATGAAGAAATAAAAGGAACAGGGATGAAGAGGAAGGGCCAAATACAGAATTTCTGATAAATATTGAAAGGACTGCGTAAAGGTAGCATGTATGAAGTCCTGGGTTCTATCTAAGCCTCCAATCAGTTGAATGATACTGGGAATGATAACCTCAGCAAACATACTTCTTGCTATGGTGGCAAATACTGACATAGATCCCTTTCAGTTTGGTGACTCACATAATCTTAAAACAGCCACGTGAAGCAGGTAATGTTAAAAATTTTCATTTCATAACAGGGGAAGATGAAGGCATAAAACTAAAGATATTTTCCCAAGAAAATATCACTGCATGGCCAGTGAGTAGCCAAGTTGAGGTTTGGATTCTAGGACTGTGAATATAGAGCTTTCCTGTCCTTTGCTTGCTTGCTGTGATTTCAGCTCAGCATGATGAAACATTTTTGACTGGGGTCCGTTACACAGATGTTCAAGATCACCCTTTAAGAATGTTTGCTTTCTCACCTGGCTGGTTCTTAGACAGTGACTTTAGGAACACACTGGCACTGGTTAAGAGAGTTTGGACTCTGAATAATAGCTCCGTGGTGCCAGGCCAAAAGAATGATTTGCATGATCTCTCTCGTCTTTACATTTAATGATTCCTTTAACAAATAATTCCATAGTTTGTCTGTGATGACGCTTACATAGAGAAAAGGCATTGGCAGATGTTTTTGATTAGTGCTTTGAATTGTTACCATTTTGTAGCAAGGAAAGCCAAAGTTAAACAACTTGTTATTTTGATGTTAAAATTGTCATTAGGAGTAAGTAAGAACTAGAGTACTGCTGGATAAATGAGGTCTCAGTCCAAATCTAGTTGCCTTCTGTCTATGATGTGGCTAGATCTTTTATTAGCAAACTAGGTGCCAAAAGGGGCTGAACGAGATGACACTTCACTTATTGGTTGTATTCTACTAAGAATACCATGCCATATATTTATTTTAAATGGACGTAAACTAAGACCCTCACTTTTTTTGGCAAACCAAATGAAAAATCATCTGTGGAGAAGGTGATTTTATTAATAGTTCAAAGTAGGTCCAGAAAGTAAGTATAGAGTGTTACACAGGAAAAAAAAAAAGCTTAGGTAGCTAAGCATATAAGAAATCAAAGTAAGTGAAAATTAAGCAGATTATTTTCAAATATAAAAAAAATAATAAGACAAAACAAAAACTATCACATTGAAGTTAGACAAGACAAACCAATAGAAGGAAAAGAGCCCAAGAGAAGGCACAAGAATCAGACTGCACACTCAGGAGTCCCATGAAAACACACTACCTGGAAGTCATATGCAGAGGACCTGGTGCAGATTTTTTTAATGATGTTTGTGCTGTTAGAAAAGTAAAAGGAAGCAGTGAAAACATCTTCTGGGAACTACATATCATTAGGGTCTGCAAATCAGCCCACAAAAGATCACCACTCACGTAAGCAAGAGCATTTATTTCTCAGGAGAAAAATTCCTGCATGCTTGGGTCAGCCACACAACGAAATGATGAGGACCCTGACAGAAGCTTGCAGGCTCCTTTTATACACTGATAGGGGAATTCCAGGGACAGTTAGATCATCTCTAGCAAGCATGATTGGCTAAGCAAGCAACAGTTACTTACATTAGTTTAAACTTGTTTGGCTGTGGCGTCTTTGGACATGTCAGGGCATACCCATAGATGTATTAAAAAGAAAGAGAAGGGAGTGGCTTGCAGGATCTGCCCTTTTCTGACTGGAAGACCTGGCAACCCGTAGGGCTTGGGAGTAGGCCTCGGAGGAGGCCATGGTCCAGACCTCACCGGTGAATGGCAAAATGACAAACGGAAGTACGGAGCTGGGGACTGTGCCAAAGGCCAGGTCCAAGGCAAGCTGGAGCAGTGGGCCAGGACTGAGCCCATGGCTAGGCACTGTCTCCAAGCTACTTCCTTGCTGCTGTTCACGCTGCCAGGCACCATCTCACATATAAGCTTTGTAACTGACTTTAAAACTGACCAAATAGAATATCTAGATATTAAGAAATAGGATGAATGAACAATATTAAGTTTATAGTTCAGTAGTACTGACCTAACATTTTCAAGGTATTAGCTCTCATTTCTAGTACTGCAAAGACAATTCACAATAGTTAAAATTTTTAGAATTTACATTTAAGACTTTAGGGCCTGCTGCTGCTGCTCTCTCAGAGTAACTGGGTTTAGTTCCCAGCACTTATATGGTGGCTCACAACTGTCTGTAAATCCAGTTCCAGGACAAACAACTCCTCTTCTGAGAGGCTTCTACATGCATGAGGTGCATATACATACACCCAGGCATACAGACATACACATGAAATAGACAAGTATATTTTTTAAAAAATTAAAAAATAGAAAACTGGATGCAGCTGAGGAAGTAGATGGGTATTCACCCAGATAATAGTAGCGCAGAAGAAATGATTAGGCCTGGATGTTTACAAATAGGGGATTATAAAAGGGAGATGCTAGAGAATACATCATTAATACAATGGAGATTATGGAAGTCTAACACTTAGGTAATAACAGAATGGTAAGGAAAATAGAGAAAGAATGCAGAAGAGGTTATTTGTTGAAATCATGACTGAGAAGATTCTAGAGCTGATTCTAAGCCACATTTTCAGGAACCCACTGAATCCTAAGCAATATAAATAAAGCCATGGAGGCAAGTCAAGCCTGGAGAAAGACAGGGGCTTTCATAAACATGGCAATCTTCTCAGTAGTAGCAACACAGAAAAGGAGAGAAAAGTGGAATAGCATTTCAGTATGCTAAAACAAAATGAGGACAAACGTTCCCCAAAGCATTCCATATAAAATTTTATAGCTGCTAAATACTGCTATCAAGAGTGTCGCTTAAAAGGTAGATATTTGGAGACAGAATCTAGGAAACCCATGACCAGCAGACATCTTCTAAAAGAAAATTGTAAAGGATATACTTCAGACAGAACTGATTTCAGTTGGATGACTGATATTAAGGAAACAATAAGGAGGAAAAAAAGCCAATGTGTATGCATCAATCTAGCTAATGGAATAGAAATTACAATCATGTAGGGTTAAAAACACACTGTATGATTAAAATGCATGACTACAATACATCAATCAGCCAATGGGTAAATATGTTTTGAATGTTCTAAGATGATTGTACTGTCTGAAATGAATCATGTGTAGGAAATTGAGACTTTGAGAAAGAAATAGAGAAGCAATGAGGCACTGTGATAGAATCCAGAGGCCAGGATGGCTAAGGACTAGACTAAGCTTTGTCATCAATTAGCAATATAGACTTTGAAAAGCTACTTCTCTGCTAGAATGATGTGTGTCTGTTTTCTTAACTGTAAATATGAGACTTTGGAACTAGATGAAAATTTAAAGTCTTTCACTGGGAGTCAATGAAAAGGAATTCTTGCAGAAGGAAAAAAAGAATCAATAGTCCTTGAGGTATTTACTCCTTTTAAATTTTAATCAGAAAACACTTTGCATTTACTTCCAGCTAACTTTTACATATCTGCTCAAAAAATTAGAAGTAAATCTAGTCTTACTCAGCTGTGTATTTTTGCTTTACCTTTAAACTGATTTCTTGGTTTTGTTTTGCTATCATTCAGTAGCTAGATGGGATAGTTGGCTCTGGCAGATGGTAAGGGGACATTAACAGGGGGAAATAAAGCTATGAGTAGAGGACCTTCCTGAGAAACTGTGATTCTTGCTATTCTTTCTTTCTTTTTTATTTAGGACCTAAACAAATTAATACCTTCTTACCCTCTCACCATCTCTTCTTGAATTGTTGCCCTACTTCCCTCTCCCTTCTCTTTTCCCAGGCCAATAATAAACCTGAGATTGAAGCGGCCCTCTTCCTCGACTGGATGCGCCTGGAACCCCAGTCTATGGTGTGGCTGCCCGTTTTGCACAGAGTGGCTGCTGCAGAAACTGCCAAGCACCAGGCCAAGTGTAACATCTGCAAGGAGTGTCCAATCATTGGATTCAGGTATTAGGTTCCAACAACATAACCATATCATTCCTCACTTTATCATGACTTGGTCTTTTGTCTCCCATACCAGTTGCTGTTAGTTTCTTCCTTTCCAAAGTGGGAGAGAAAGTGATGGAGCTAACACATTGATCACTGCTGTCATTCCCTGATCACAGGCTTATTTTGGTGGACCTGAGTCATTAGGCAGATGTCTCTTTCTACCTTCACTCTTCACAACTACATTTTTGGTTGGGCAAGACTGAGTACATGACTCCACAGAGATATTTGTTTGTCAAGGGCATCCAGATGAACTGTACCTCCTCCTTCCTGGAACGAAAACATTCTTACCCTTGTTTTCTTTTTTCATGGCCTTTTCTGTTTATAGAAATTCTCCAAGAATCAGTTATAAAACGAAGAGTTGATTCTATTCTGGGAAGATGCATCCTGGTAGCTCCGTTTCTTTCTCACTTGGCAGCGCTTCTTTTTACCCCTTAAGTAACAGGAATTATTCCAGGCATTCTAGAACTTTCTTCTTTCTCTTTGAATCTGATTCTCTTCTTTCCATAGTGTCCTGTTGAAATTCTAAGGGACTAAAAGGTATGTAAGCAAATGAGATTCACAAAGCAGCTAAAAACAGAAAACATTTCTTTTAAATGTAAAGGTGAGAGGGATAGGAAATAGCACACTATTATTTTGGTATTCTTAAAGTGACATGGAAAACAACTGAATCATTTGGAGAAGTAGGATATTTTTAAATGAACTAACCTAATAATAATCCCAAGTCCTAATTCTGAAATGATGATGCACTTACACATCTGGATTGATATGAGCCTTTCCAAAGCAAAGACAAGCAACAGGATTATACACTAGCTATGTTGCTTATGCCCCTTCCGAAGTCATTTAGCAGCCAAAGGAAATACTCATTTCTAGTTGTACTTAAATGTGTTCTATGACTTTTTTTAAATGTTAGTGTTCTTTTATCATTGATGCTTTCCCTTGTGTATTTCATACAGCTTTTTTTTTTTTTAAAAAAAAAAAAAGCTTTAGAGGTTTCTAAAGCCTGGTTAGACAGAGTCTTAGAAAATATATGTTTTCTTCCTTCCTGGTTTTGGACAGATGAGAATGATACTATAGGGGCTCCAGTCCTGGAAGGGGAGCTGCAGGTGACTGCATTCTATTTCTTATCTTCCCGAGCCAGCTTCCTGAGCCAGTGGGATTTGTATACAACAGAGGAAATTTTTATAAAGTTAAAAAAAAATCGTCCTTTGGAGGACCTAAGAGAGGGCTTTTTTTTTTTAACCTTCAATTCTTTTGCCTTTATCAAATTAGATTATTTTAAGAATCAGCACTTCTCTTTCTTCCTTATCCCCTCTGAAATGATGGTTGAGATCTAAAAATAAAAAAATGCTAGCTTTTCTTCCCACTTTCCCATATGTGACATCAAGAATATGTTTATTTGAATTGGCTAAGACTCTTATCTGAGAAGGCAAAAATCAGGAGGACTGAAACAAGTATATAGTATTCTGAGATTGAAGGAAAATTTACCAACTAGTACTTAGAAATTAGAAAATCTTTCATTTAATCCAATGTTGTTGTTGGCTTTTTTTTTTTTTGGTGTCATTTTTGAGTAATATGGTGAGGAATTTCTGGAGAGAAGAAATTGTCTAATTGACATGAAGATGAATCATTCTAGCCAATTACAGAGTATATAATTAAGGGTAGAGTTACTTTGCTTGGAGTTCTTATTTAGATTTCTTATGAGTAACTTTATTTGTATAATTGTGTGATGATAATTATTTTAGAAAACTCTTGTCCCTGTGGCGAATAGGTAGCATCAGTATGTCAACCGTTCACTTTGAAGTTCTTTCAAAGTTGAGTATTTGGTCTTTAAAAGACTAGGTGTTTGCCTATACTTTGCTATTTAATCTGAAAGAACTCCAGTGTAGTTTAAATGGGAGTTGAATATTTCATTCTTTCTTCCATATGTTTATGAGATACTCTTTCTGCCAAAATGTTTTGATACAGTAGGAAAGGCACCGAAGGAGTCTGGCGGCAGAAGTGAATTGCTGACTATGCAGAACTAATGAGCACTGCTTTCTGTTTTACAAATGACAGTGTGGTGGAGGGTTTCCTAGAGTGTTCTCTGGGATATGAGCTGAAGAAGTACATAAGTGTTTGTTTCTGTTCTTTATCAGGTACAGAAGTCTAAAGCACTTTAATTATGACATCTGCCAAAGCTGCTTCTTTTCTGGTCGAGTGGCAAAGGGCCATAAAATGCACTACCCCATGGTAGAATATTGTACTCCGGTAAGTTAATGTCCTCCCGACATGAGTTCATTCGCCTGAGATAAATTCTAGATTTGGATATGGCCAGTCATGTTTAATTCTGAGCTTTGTTTTTTGTTTTTGTTTGATTTGTTTTGAAGTTCCACTCGCCTATGTCTGTACCAGGCAGGTCCTAATACACCGCAGATGTGATTCCTACTCGATAAATATCTATGAAGGGATGCATAAGTTTTTCTCCTTTTAGCACGTTTGTAAGGAGGACCTTTCACATTTCTTTTGTACAACTTTAGCAATTATATAGGGAAGACTCATGGCCATGGGACATATTGAACATGGAGAAAAGTGGTATGTGTATTCCTCAAAATGCATACCATACCACCTCCTGTCACTGTTATTCACCTTTGGCTTTGTGACATACTAACAACTGACACTTGAAAAATATGTTTTATATGACAATATTTAATAACTCATTTACATGTTAAGTAAGTACTTACCTCTTAAATAGCTTTTTGTGCAATATATTGTTATTTTTATTTTTATTTCATTATTATTATTTTGTGGTGGTTTTTTCTTTGTTTTTATTTGTTTTTCGAGTCAGGGTTTCTTTGTGTAGCCCTGGCTGTCCTGGAACTCACTTGGTAGACCAGGCTGTCCTCGAACTCGGAGATCTGACTGCTTCTGCCTCAAAGTGCTGGGATTAAAGGCATGCACCACCACCACCCAGCAGGTATTGTTATTTTTATTCCCCTTTGACAGATGAGGACTCTGTCATCCTGAGGTTAAAATGTTTGCCCAAGGTTCTATAAGTAAGAAGTGGAGAAACTTCTAATATGTCTGAGGAAAACATTCACTAGCTATTAGGCATTGAGAAAAACCCTAGTGAGATAGCAAGGCCATAAGCTCAGTGATTATACTGAGACAAAAAACTCTACATGAATACACCTGTGAGTTTATCAGGAATGTATACTTTCAGGTCCCAGCCTGGGTTTTATAGATCAAAATTTGTATTTTAGCAAGATTTACAGGAACTCTGCTCTCCTTTAGGGCATGGATTTCATCCATCGCCAAGTGATCCCAGTATTTAACTGTTTTCCTCACTGTTATTCCTCTTACTAAGGTAATCAGTGTTGGAGGGTGCATCATGCTAGGAATTGCCTGATACTCAATTTGTGAACTCTGATATTAATGTCAACTAATTAGTTTTAAAGTACTGAAAAGTATAGTAAAATCTGAAGTTTTCCTTAAGTCTTCTATAAACGATCAATCATCAAATAGGTAGATAGCCTGAATACTTCATTTATTGTCCTTAATTTTTACTTATTTTTGTCTGTTTACATGTGTTTGTAGTGTGTGTGTGTGTGTGTGTGTGTGTGTGTGTGTGTGTGTGTGTGTGTGAAGGCCAGAAGTTAAAGGTTGGTGTCTTTATCTTTCTCTACCCTATTGTATGAGACATGGTCTTTAACAGAACCCAGAAGTCACAGATTGATGACATTGACTGGTACATTAGATCTAGAGATCTACCTGTCTCTGATTTCCCCAGTGCTAGGGTTACAAATGGATACCACCATGCCTGGCTTTTATGTGGCTGCTGGGAATCCAAACTCATGCTTATGTGGCAAGCACTTTGTCAACTGCCCTATCTCCTCAGCCTTTAATGCCCCCCTTTTTCCACTGATACATGCTTTATAGATGTAGGTAACTCACCCAAGTTAGTAAAGTTTGAATCTATGGCCTTGGATCATACTTCCCATATTCGCTCAGGTTCCAAACCAAGTGCCATGAAGGTGAAGATCAGGTGTCCATTTGTTTTTAAATGGCACTCTCCTAGAGCTGCTCTCATCATGATTTTGCTTTTAGACTACATCTGGAGAAGATGTCCGTGACTTCGCCAAGGTACTCAAAAACAAATTTCGAACCAAAAGGTATTTTGCGAAGCATCCCCGAATGGGCTACCTGCCAGTGCAGACTGTCTTAGAGGGGGACAACATGGAAACGTGAGTAGTGTTGGAAGCACAGCAAACTTTCATTCGATACATATATTTGAACTTCTCCCAGCCAAAGAGCCTCTGTCACTCCCAAATGCAAACAGTCTCTTAAGTTTCTCTCTCTTTGGATTTACTTTAGCTGAAAAAAATAAATAAATAAACAGGCTGATGTTCAATTACATTTTCCCTTGACAATTATCTTTTCCAAAAGTCAAAGGAAGAAAAAAAATAGTTCAAATTGCCTTATTAAGACTTTTAAGAGATACGGGACTGTTTACAGATGAGTGATGACAATATTTCATTTTGAGTTTCTTCCCTCACAAATCAGTGGACATGTGTCTTTTTGTATCTAATTGTGTGATCATATCTAGTCACTCTTTTCCACTTGAGAGAAATATCCAGTCACTGGAAATGCTTTCACAGTAAGTAGAAACGAGTCTACTGGTCAACTGGATTATGTCTTCGCCTCCTTTAGACTTATTCCTTATATTTTCCTGTACTTTGATGGCAATCACACTGCTGTTGGTTTTGCTTTTCATTCCCTTTTTTCATTCCCTTTTCACTCTTATTTGGCTGTTGCTTTCCATGAGTCATACATAATTTGATTGGATTTTCTTTGTTTCTTTGGACCTTTTGATAATTTCTGTTGCGGCTGAATTTGCCTGTGTCTCTTCACCACCTCATTTTTTTGTTTTGCAGTCCCGTTACTCTGATCAACTTCTGGCCAGTAGATTCTGTGTGAGTACTTTTGCTAAGGGTACTGCTGCCACCAACATTCACTTGCTTGATTTCTCTGTATGTTTATTTATTTATTTTGCTATGTTTTGTTTAAAGACATTTTAATTTCCTGTTTTGTTTTGTTTTGTTTTTCTATTTGTTTTCTCACTAAGGCCTTGAGCGTGCCGCCTATCACAGCTTACAGAGATTCTGGGTAGGGCTGCAGGTCTCTCTGCTGAAGCTCTAGCCAGTAGAAGTCCTGGTCTGAGTTCTAATAAAAATGAAAAGAATTCTGCAAGTTTTAGCTGTCTTCCTGGAAGACAAGTTTATATTTTAGACATTCTTTTAAATATAGGCAAGAAAGAGCCTCCTATTTGGATAATAGCGTTTGAAAGCCATATTTCTCAAGAAGTAATACATGGAGACCTCCCGGAAGGTGATAGTGTGTTCCTTGGAAGCAGTTACTGCTGGACTAGTAAAAAATCAGCAGGATGGATTTTAGAGTATGACACTGAGTTTGGTTGACTAATTTCAGTGAACTGTGTGGATGTTTTTTAAAAGTAGGTTATGCCATGCTGTTTGACAAATTTTCACAAATGTAGGATTCTGACTTTTGAGCTAAACTCATTTTTATCTTCTCTCTAAAATACTCAGTTCATAAACATTTATGCTTTAAGCAAGGAGGGAGTATACTATAAGTTTGCTATTACTACTGTTTATTAATACTACTAATATTAGATAATAATGCACAAATGATTTATTTCAGTTTGTATTGTTAGAAAACTATTTTGGAGCTAGGTATTGTAGTAAGCACAACTAGTCCTAGCTATTTAAGAAGCTGAGGTAGGAAAACTGTTTGAGTGAGCCCAGGAGTTTGAGAACAGCTTGAGTACCACAGTGAGACCTCTTTTAACAATAAAATCTCTGAAATCTTTTGGAGATCTTTGATGTGTACATTAGCAAAAAAGTATGCCTACATGAAAGTTATGTGGTGTTTTCATAATAGTTTTGGTGTTTTACAGCATGCCTTATTAAATTATATAATGTTTCGTAACACTATCCTGTAACAAAGGGAAAATAACTAATTTGAAGGAGTGGCTTATTAAGAATTTAATTTATTTGATTTTTATATTATCCTACCATCTAATTTAACTGAATATAATTTTTTCAAAAGATATGAGACAAATATAAGCTATTAATTGAGATATATTTTATGTATTTATTAGCCAAAGGAAGTAGAAGACTTTTCTTGTTTAGTCCCACATTATTGTGCCATTTCCTTTTGAGACATCATACTTAAAAATAGTGCATTGTCTTTTTCCTAATTCTTAAATAATCTAAGAAGTTACTAAATCAATTTGTTTTTTGAATGATAGTAATTATTTTCCCCAACCTGAGTATTTTGTTTATAGAAGTTAGAAGCTTTCATAACTATGAAATTTTGAAACTTGATCTAATGAAGTCCTGAGATTACCAAGTAGATAGATTTACTCTGTTAGAGGAAGTTTAACCAGGGAAGAAGCCTGAAAAATTAGGATTAAGAAAAAAAATTTTTTAATGCTTGACTAAAAGTAACAGAAAACAGTTCCTTGAAAGGAATGGAGAAGCTACAATATAAGTTAATGAGAAATTGTCACAGTTGGGTTCAAGTAACTTCTTTTATTTATTTATTTTTATTAAGAAAAAATTTTAATTCATTTTACATACCAATCAAAGATCCCATTCTTCCCTCCCCCTCCTCCTCCAGCCTCCCCCTCCCAACCCACCCCATTCCCTTCTACAAGAAGGTAGGTACATTTAGTAGAGGCAGGTCCAGGCCCCTCCTCCTGCCTCAAGGCTGTACGAGGTGTCCCATCATAGGCAGTGAGCTCCAAAAAGCCAGCTCATTCACTAGGAATGGATTCTGATCCTACTGCCAGGGGGCCCCTTAAGCAGATCAAGCTACACAACTGTCTCGCTATGCAGAGGGCCTAGTCCAGTCCCATGCAGGCTCCACACCTGTTGATCTAAATTTCATGAGTTCCCACTAGTTTGGTTCGGTTGTCTCTGTAGGATTCCCCATCATGATTTTGATGTCCTTGCTCATAGAATCCCTCTTCTTTTTAAATGGAGGGTGTTTATCTTTCTTAAACATTGAAGCACTTTAAAAATCCATGACGTTATTTAATAAAATATCTTTTGTAGCAACTAAAGCATACTCTTTGGTTGCCTTTTTGTGAAAAGTTGGCTAGGTTATTCAAAAAGAGTGGGAAGTTCTAATTTGGAGGAAGAAAACAAACCCAGCATGCTAGTCTGTACTTTCTTTAATACTGTAATTTTATTACTTTTTACTCACACTTTTCTAATAACATAGAAAAATCTTTTGTAAAGCTGTCCTATTCAAGCAGAAGAATTAGGTACATGTTTTGTTTTGTAAAAATATATTTGATAACAACCTCTTATGACAATAGTGGTATTTAATCTATTTTATGTGAAACACAGACTTGGAAAGCTCCCAGAGATACAGATCTTTTGGTTTTTCTTAGACAAAACCCTTGTTTCTTTGTATCTGTCATAGTATTTTAAACTGAATCCAACCTTTCATTTTGTTTATCCACAATCAAGGCAGTCTAGCAATGTGGAGCTCCTCTGTTTTGAAATCTAACTAATGAGAACTTACTCATGGAATTTTTACATGCATTCATAAGATGGCATTGGCCAAATGGATTCTTAGGATTAATCGGAAATGGTCCTAGTCGTTGTATTCCTCTGTATTTACAAAGCAGGAAGCAGGAGCCATTTTATTATCTTTCTTTGAAAGTGCTTTTTGGAGGCTTTATACTTGTCTTATTTTTTGGAGTAATTTTTACTAATTCTTGGTTTTGAAATTATTCTACTCTGACCAGCACTTTCTTTTGGCTTGTTTTCTGGTTTAGCAAGTGCCTTTTTGTTTGTTTGTTTGTTTGTTTTGTTTTGTTTTTTGAGACAGGGTTTCTCTGTGTAGCTTTGCACCTTTCCTGGATCTCGCTCTGTAGACCAGGCTGGCCTCGAACTCACAGAGATCTGCCTGGCTCTGCCTCCTGAGTGCTGGGATTAAAGGTGTGCGCCGCCACCGCCCGGCACAAGTACCTCTTGTACTTGTTCAGATTACTGACTATTACAAGTTCATGTACTTATGCGTGATGCACTAGGTGCACTAGGTGCTGTGTACATTAATAGAAAATTAATGTGAAATTTCTGGAGGCTAAGAAGTACAGCTCCATATAAGACTTTTGTGTACGATTACATTAATGCTTTGGATTTAGGTGCCCACTTCTGGTAAAGTTTTGAAGATCTTGTGTTTGCTTTCCTTTTTCTGTACACTACCACTGTAGCAACTATTATAATGGAAAATACTACTAATACATTTTCCTCGATGGTAGGTTTTAGCTTATAATATATATATATGAAAATATATATATGATATATATATATGATATATATATTTTCATATATATATATATACATGGACTGATCTATTTCAGAAGATAATACTTACAAGCCAAACAATCCAAGCATTAAATTGTCTTTATTTGTAGTGGAGATTTCAAAACAAAGCTTTATAGTAATAAACTATTCCAAAATTCTATAAAAATAGCAGATTAAATCTCCAAAAATACAGTGAAGCTTCACATGGGAGGTTTTGGATCTGCCTAATAAGTTGTATACTTGTCTCTTTTGTGTTCACATGAAAATGTAAACATATTTTACACTTGACCTAGACAACACTGGTCTCATATTTTACATTTGACCTCCCAATATGATAAGACCTTTATCTCTCAAGGAAGGCATCCAGTGGCCTGTGTTTGTTTAAGTGTGTTGTTGTAATTATCTTACCACAGTGTTTTTTATTAAAAATAGAAATTTCCAGCACATTTTCTATGCAAACCTAGCAGTAGATATACACTCATCTTCATATATATATATATATATATATATATATATATATATATATATATACACACACATATATGTATATATATATGTGTGTGTGTATACACACACACACACACACACACACACACACACACACACACATGTTCAGACCAAGTCTTTGACTGCTGTTTGGGTATTAGGCTAAGGCACAGGCCTCCCTGAGTATAGTCCTGCTGGGTTTGGGGTTCACGCCTTTCTTTCCCTAAGTCCTTTCTGTGTCAGGAGAGACATTCTTATCCTATTATAAGACAAAAAGCACAAGTCCAAACTGGTTTTGGGAACAATTTTTTTTTGGTACGGTTAACCCAAAAGATATAAAAATTCCAATGAATAGATCAGATATGAAGTATGAAAAAGTTAACCCTACCAAAATCCTACCCTGTCTACTGAGAAAGGTGTGTTTTGATTTTGCCTACAGAGTTCATGCTCACTCTTTCCTCTTGTTTGCCTGTCTGGATTTGTGAGCACACTAGCCTCAGTAAGAGTTATTGTACATACCATGACATCTTACTGAATTAGATATTCTTTTTAAAAAGGCTTATATGATCTTGAGTCACTCTATTTTTTTTTCTGTAACATACTAGCATAATACTACTGTTAAATTGGTAGATAGATTCCTTCTGTAGCTGTTTTGGTACATAGAATTTTAAGAAGTATTAGAATGGAGTAGCCTCCTTGGAACTAAAATTATTGACTGTAAATATAATAAGGAAACATAGTTTCCATTCAACCCAAAGATGCTAATCAATGTCATAGATGTGTGTAAGCTGTTTCCAGTTTTAAACCACATAGTACTAAAACAGCCTCAGAACTCCAGTATATGAAAATTTATAAGCTAAAAGGATGTATAAGCTAAAAGTAATGCTATGTAGATTTCCCCCTGTACCTTTTTTGCAATTAAAGCATTCTAGAGAGTTTTTCTTTTATCTTTATGGCTTTTAAGGAAAAGCAGAAATCATCTCTCAAATCTCAACTTAAAATACTTGATGCTGTCATATATACAGGAGCACCTACATGTGCATTATCCATAGGCTTGGAATAAAGTCATTCTAGGCCATGTATATAACATGAGTGTGTGGTGGGGTCTTTTTCTCCATTAATGGATGGTATCTATGACTAATCACATTTTCTGCCTTATAGGCCTGCCTCGTCCCCCCAGCTTTCACACGATGATACTCATTCACGCATTGAACATTATGCTAGCAGGTATGAGACTAGTTGAATGCCAGGCAAATATTGGTTGAAATAACTAACCAAGGAAAGCTAACCTATAATAATTGGGAACAAATATTTTCTTTCTTCCTCAATCATTTCTGATTTCTACTAATCACCTTGCCCTCTAACGTGCATGCCATTCTACTGCATGTAGGTTTTGGATACCAGCAACAGCATGGGTCCAGAACACTTATTTAACCCTGGCCTTTCAACATTTCTGGTAGATTTGTTGTGTTTTATATTCTGAATACATTTGCTAAATTGGCTTAGAAGTCTTCTAACCTCCTTAAAAAACTCCTAGACTAGATATTAATCTGGGGAGAAATAATACTGTGTTACCTAAGCAATGTGAAAGCTCTGGCCTTTTATTTGTGTTTCATTTATTTGATGTACTTTAAGAAGATAACAACTTTCCTAACTCTTGGACCTTTCTGTACTACCTTCTTTATATATGAGATAACTTTTATTCCTAAACACTGAACTACTAATTATACCTGGTGCTTGTTAAATAAGGCTATTCAACTTTTTCTGATTGTCAAAGGCTTTATTATTAAATTGGTGACAGAACACATAGAACACTTAATGTGAATCCATCCTTTATCAACATCCTGACTACTGGACATGCTCATCCGTTGTGGCAAGCATTAACTAGCTATATACGTCTATCATCAGTGAAAGGCACTAATTGTCTTAAAAGACAAGGGGTAGTGTAAGGTGCTCTTAGTGTAATTTGCTCTTAGGGAAGATTTTCTTCTGAAAACAAAGGCTGGTTCTCAGTGAAAGGAAGATTGATCTCAAACAAAACAGCAACAAAATACAGCTTCCCATAGTTTTTACATTAACAGTGCAAAGCTACTAACTAGCTAGCTGCTTCAACTGGTTAAGACAACACACACATCCTTTAATTTGAAGGATTCCTTTCTCCTCTTGCCATGAGTTATTCTTTAGTTTTCAGGAATGTTCGCATAGGTCTTGAATAGATTCTGAGAAGTCACATAACTTTTAATGAGCTTTTACGTTTTTTATCAGGCTAGCAGAAATGGAAAACAGCAATGGATCTTATCTAAATGATAGCATCTCTCCTAATGAGAGCATGTAAGTATCCCATCTCTTTTTACAAAATGTTCCTGACAATTAAATTGCTTTGAGGGATTCAGAGGTAGGATAGTACAGGATATAGGAATTAGCATCATATTCATTCGATCTTTCAAAGAGCCATTCATTGACTTTTTTCTTTAGTTCTTAAAACCTGGCACAGAATGAGCTCATACAAATACAAGCATTAATTCAGAATAGCAAAAAATATTTCATTACTTACATTTATTTAATGCCATATGATTACAAATTACTGATTCCAAACACTTATATCAAAGCTAATCTTTGACCACACTGGAATAAGGAATAAGATGACAGTTGAGAGTAATAACCAAGTAGGATTTCTTCCACTCATGGGAAGTGAAAATGTGAACTTGATCTAGAATTGCTATTCCCATATACTAAGTTAGGTCGGCATTTTTCTTCATTGGATTGTTGTGGTTTAGCATCATATAGTAAAGCAGTCTTGTGAAGTGTTCCCAGATGAGGGAAGACAAATGCAGGTCTCAGTTTGTCAGTGGAGCGATAAACCAGCTTGGTCAAACTTTAAGGAGACATATTCTTGTTACAAATGGCCAAGAACCCACTTGGCTCCAAAACAGAGGCATCATCAACAGTTTAGGGTAGTGCTCATAGTACAGAACACAAAGGAATATTACAATGGTCCAAGTAGATGTTGATTAAGGAGGAAGATAAGTGAGGATATGGAGGAAATAGAGGATCCACTAACTGAACAAATAATATGGAGAGAAAAAAATTTAGTCAAAGTGCAGTGATCCTTTTAATTTGTTAAGACATGGCAAGGTAATCTTATCTTGGAGAAAAAGCAAATGGAAGCGTGATAAAGTTATCCTATGTAGTTTGTATGGGAACCCCGTGTCTTGCTCAGATGAGAAAGGGGCCTTCATAAGGATTAAGCGAAGAGAAATTGTATGAAAGTGAGATTTCTATATAATTATTGAATTCCATATTATGTAGTACATAGAGGAGACCAATGTAATGAGAGAGAAGTCAACACGCAGTCATTTACTTCAAACAGATATCCTTTTCCCAATTAAAACTATGATGCCATTATGTGATCTTCAACAGGAAAGTGAGTAGCTAAAGAACCAACTCAGTGTAAAGGCTTGAATGATTTGCTTCTTTGGCTTCCTCTTTTTTATATTAAAGATGCTCTAATACTTCCACAGTAATTTAGATTCTATCCATATGACAGTCTCTGGCAGTCATGGAACTGCCAAAGGAATAGGAAGAAAGCTTAACTACAATTATAGGTCACAGTTAAATGTGGGAAATCCTAGCAATAAAATTTCAGAATTTGAGGAGGGTAATAATAAATTAGCTATGTGATAAAGCCGTGACTGTTTTATTTTACAACAAAATTCAGCTTTAGCTCATTCTGAGGACATGCAATCCATTTTCACTCTGTTGCTTAGCAAAATATCATGTTATTTAGGAACAGTTTTGATGGATCAGCTGATTTCATTTAAATGTTTCTTTTTAATGCCAGTAATAATCATATTCATTATTATCATTATTCTGTGACAATAAGGATTGATCTCAGGGCTTTATGCATGCTAGGCAAGTAGTCACTCACTGTGATGTATCCCAAACCTCCAATAATTAGTTAATTGATAACATCTCCATCACTAATCTGGTTTCATGGACCAAAAATGGAAGCCATGGGAGCATTTTCCTACGGACTTGTTCATTTAAAACTGAGAACTAGGTGCATATGGCATACTAGGCATGAAGACACATGACTTTAACCCTAGCACTCAGGAGGCTGAGACCGAAGGGTTGCAAGTTTAAGGCCAGCCTGGGCTATACAGAAATTCCCTCTTGAAAAACAAAATTAAGTGGCTATGCAAAAGGTAGTATACACACATCATCTTAGTGATATGTAACCAGAAACAAAGAGCTTTAGTGTCTCATCAAGAAGAAAATGAAGTTCCTCGAACTTGGAGGTAAAATGGAGTTTTCAAAAACTTAGAGCACTTCATTCTTAAAGTAATTTCTCCTGACTGTTATTAGAAAGTTCCTTCTTTCCAGGAGACTACAACTTCCTCTCACAATATGCCATCCCCCTGCCCCACAACAAAAAATGATGCTTAAGATTTAGTCTGAGGAATGAGTGGTTCTTATCCTCTTTTAATCAGTCACCTTAATGTCTCCCCCCCTCAATTTTTGTGTTTATATCTAAACAGTAATTAAAACAACCATTTATCCACAGGTTAATTATTGTTATCATCCCACCTCTGAGACCTAGAAGTTAAAATTAGCTTGCTGAAGCAGCGCTTTCCAGTTTGGGCCTTCCACTGAAGATATTATTTCCTATTTTAAGAACTGTGTTTCCCTCCTCCCTCCCAATCAGTATCAGTAGCATGGCTAATGAACAGATTATCTTGACAGGCTTAGAAGCAAAAGCATTAAATGGCCATTGTTATTTTTTAATACTTATTAGTTAATAACAGTCTAAAGTGATAATATAGACTCCCAGTATTTCTGTAATTCTACCTTTCATTTATCTGTGTAAATAGGCCAGTAAGTTTCAGGTGGATTTTTGAAAAAGAAACACTTTAAACTATCCATCCATAGATTGGTAGAGCACAACCTCGATAATACCTAATGAAAGGTCTAACTAATTATTGAGAGCAAAGCAATGTTTCTATTTTCAAATACACACCTGAGTCCCTGGCCCCAAAACAAAATAAGGGGGGTGGAAAAACCAAAACCTTTGATTTTATTTTCCAGAGATGATGAACATTTGTTAATCCAGCATTACTGCCAAAGTTTGAACCAGGACTCCCCCCTGAGCCAGCCTCGTAGTCCTGCCCAGATCTTGATTTCCTTAGAGAGTGAGGAAAGAGGGGAGCTAGAGAGAATCCTAGCAGATCTTGAGGAAGAAAACAGGTGAGTTTTCTTTGTAGCTTTGTCATTGGTAAGCAGAGTGCATACACTTGCCCACAGAGAAAAGCGCCAGGAATCTTCACGTAGCCATTCGATGTCTTACTGTTTGCTAAAATAATCTGTTTAGCTCCTTTTGCAGATTCACACCTTTTTGTCTGAAAGAAGAAAATGAGTGCCATAGAGCATGATTAATAACTCCTAATTTAGGTGGGAAGGGATTAATGCTAATGGGGGCATTGGGTTTGTTGCATGTGTTCCATAGGTTTTGATATATTTGTATTTGAGCATAGAATTTAATAAAAAGCAACAAATTTAATTTATGGTTATATAAATTTTACATGCGCTTGGTCATACTACCATAAACATTTAAGGAAGTAGATTCATTGGCTTTGTCATATTTGGGAACAGTATTTCCTCTTATTTTTCATCATCAAGTGCAGAAGTTATTACTTTTGTTCAGCTTCATAGCAGATTAGGTAGACAATTCCAGTTGTTAGCCATTACCTGTAAAAAAATGCAATTGTTGAAAAAGAAAAAAGAAAGGAAAAGCCAAAAGAAAATTCATGATGACTAGAGCAGATAAATTTTAAGAATGTGGAGTATTGTGTGGTATCAGGGTAATACAAATCACTGGCCTCTCCCTTCTGTTTTACATTTACTATGTCACAGGTACCTTGGTTAAGGGAACCTTTTCTCATAGTCACCTGTAATCCACAGTGTGGTCTTCTAAAGACAGTGCCACCAGGCAGGTCTTGAAAGGCCAGACTGCTCAAATTTGTAGCACTTAAGTACTTTCATCTCTTTTGGCTAGCCCAAGGCAGCAAGACCTCTTAATCTAGACAACACATGGTATTTGAGAACCAGTGCCCTGAGCAGGAAAAAGCAGACGGCCATTCATCTAGTCCCGCTGCTGCTACTACTAGCCTTGCAGCTCTTAATACCCCTGACCTCTGGCCACAGCTCTTTATCAAGTTAGCTTCACTTGAGCTTCTTGCCCATTTCCCCAATAAATCCTCTGCACTGACTACTTGTGTATCTTTCCAGAACCAAAACCTATTATGGCATTCTTACTTGATTGGATTTCTGTATCTCAGCGGGGCATTCAAACCCTCCACTCTTTTCTCTTAACTTGCTTTTGTCAACTTCGCCTTCTTGTGTACTGAACATGTTGTTGTAGCCAGTGTCTTTATTTTGTTTTCCTCTACTTTCTGGCTCATGTTCAAGCTTGCTCTCAGCCTATATCACTTTAGTTTTTGCCCAGAGAACTCTTTGACAGTTTGCCCTTTTATCCATCACTGTCTGTACCTCCTTCAGTTCTGGCTATTCTGTGATCAACATCTTGTTCCTATAGTAGTACCTACCACAAAGATAATACTTCACTACTCAGGAAATGTTTTGTGAAACATTTTATATATATATATATATATATATACATATATATATATATATATGCATATATATATATATAGAGAGAGAGAGGAGATGCATGATATAAACATAATAATATAGCATGGAGATCACGTGACCACCAGTAAAGCTATAATATTATATATGTGTGGAGAGATTAATGGGACAGATTAATGATAGCTTTGTTTACTTAGCTGTATTTGTAAAAGTAGGAATGAAAACCAAGATACCTCTTCTTCTATTTTATTGGGAACAGTCACTAATAATAATTAGTAAATAATAACTTGTAGTCATTCATACTAAATCTTTATCAAAGTCAAAGGGGAAGAAAAGTTTGGGATTTTCCCTATAAATACAATTTGATGTTGTTGAAGAGTAATTACATTTCTAGTATATGATCATTACCATTATTTAATACATCTTTTAGCTCATTAGTCAGGATCCATGTCTTGTTGGTAGATTGCACATACTTCCTCTATGCCATGGTAACTAGGTCAATGAGTGTTGGGGAAGAATATTGATTACACTCATTTATATGTCATTTTATCATTTTCAGAGCACTGTTTCTGGTACTGGGGACTAAATCCATGACCTCCTGCATGCTAAGAACCCACTCTACCACTGAGAAACACTACCAGTTCCTCATTTTGAAAGCACTTTAATATATTTTAGAGCATTTAATCTTTCTAAAAGCTATACAAAGAAGTACGCATCTCCTTTCTTTAGATGAGAAAGCACAGGCTGAGAGAGGTTCAAATAGCTTGCCCCAGATTTCACAGCCAGCCAGTGGTAGACATAAATTCCTACCAGGTTTATTTTTTCACACTCAAAATAGCCAACTCTACCTTGGTTGCGAGAATAAAGAGTCATTCTATGTAAATGTCATTTATATAGAAATAGGGTTTATTCCCCAGAATATGCCTTACCTTGAGAGAGGTTGCAAAGAACAAATGTCCTTGAATAAACTAGTTCAACCACTTTACCCTGCAACATACCCAGGATTGTCACTGAAAATGGGATAGTTTGTTCTTTGAAAGAAAGATTATATAGCAGGGCTACTTAATGCTCCAAAATGAGGCCTCTGCCATTATGTGAGTCTTTCTGGAGGTTATCTTGAAAAGGTCACAATGAACCTTTTCTTTTCTTCTTCTGCTTCCTTCGCTTTTTACCTCCTACTGAAATCCCAAAGAAGTGTCTCTCTGGAGCTCCCTCTTGGGAATAACCTGCCTCATTTTCTCTGTCTTACCCTCTGCTGTCTACGTGGAGTTTTTAATGAAAGAGATTCAGGACCATTCTGCTTCTATGACCTTTGAATTGGATGTTGCTTTAAAAGCCTTTAATTTGTCATTTCCCTCCCTAAGAAAGCCTAGGTAATCACTAGATGCTCTTTCTCTGTGCCTGCCAGCCTGGATATTTCCCAAATCTGAAGTAGGCTGCAAAAATGACAAATAATAGCCTACTTGTAGTGAAAATGAGGAAGAATATTTAAAATTAGGATTGTACTCAATACTTTGGATGTAGAGTTTTAGTATTTCGAATCTGTGTATATTTAGTATATCTAAATATCAAATATCTGTGGCTATTTGATGTCCTTATTCTACAAATGTGAATTACGTTCAAATTGCAGTTAGCAAAGGAGAGCTGTTTGGAGACTCTAATTCTTGTCATATATATTATTAATTCTATTAATTATTCTTACTCATAATTTCTCTGGTCGGTCCAATGCCCTGGGAAAATACAAGGTGGTTATTCTAGACATGTCTTGGGTCTATCTTATCCCTGCTATTACAGTTCTTTTTCTCCCATTACTTATACATGGCTTTTAATAAATATTTGTTGAATAAATTAATGAATAAATGAATAGAACTGGAGCTGAATCTGTTTTGATTTTGACACACACACATGTAGTTTTGAAAACAAGTAATTTACAAACTTAATTTCATAGAGGAAAACATTTAATTGAGCTTTTTTTTTTTATTTCTGTTGACTTTTCAAAAATACTTTCTTCTGTCTTGATTACTACCAAGCATGGCTTTCTCATAAACATGGAATATTAAATATCTATTTTTCCAAATCCCAGGCTCTGGGTGTCTCTCCCATCAACACCCTCTGATTCTTTTTTTTCCCCCATAAAGATAAGAATAAAACTAAATATGTCTCTGAATTTTTTTGATAGTGTCTCTAAAGTTTGGGCTATTGGTAACATTAGTTAACTTAACCTATCATTTATGTTTCATTTCTGCATCATGTCTATCACTTGTTACCACAGATAATTGGGATTTGTCTTTCTTTGGCAGAAACCAGCTGAATATTGGGAATTTGTTCCATCCTATGTCCTTAGCACTGTGCACTCAGGGTTTGCCTTTTCCCTATATACAATAAAGACTGTAGTCTCCTGGCTTAAATCTATACTTGCCAAATTACTGTCTGCATAATAAATTTATTAGGTTGTTCCTAAATCTAAAATGCAGTCAAATATGAATCTGATTGACTGTGAAGTTGAAAGACAATTAAAATTATTTCATATTCTGTGACAAAATGGGATTCAGTAGATTTGTAGTATCTACCAATACCTTTCATATGCCTTGGTTCTTGGATACCCAGGCATTTACAGCTTTGATTTGATTTTATCTTGCTTTGTTTCATTCTTCCAATATTCACACAAGATTATATAACAATCCAAGAAATCTTAGATTAGTTACTTATATCACTGGGTTGAACTAGCTGGAAATCATTGGCCTGTCCATGTACCTTCTAAACAATCTATGCCTTTGGGTCCTGTTTTCATTGCTATAATTCTTCCTTCATTGGCTCAGGCATCTTTAGTCCATGTTCTCTGCTTTGGTCTATATGTGAGTCTATAGTGATAATAAAGTGGCCAAACTGAAGGAGTGAAAGTGGAGGTCAAGAGCTGGGGATAGGCAGCTAGAGATGAACAAGTCAGAATACTAGGAAGAATGACAGAATGTATGTGCAAAATCTACATTGTAGCCAGGTGTGGTGGCATATACCTTTAATATCAACACTTAAGAGGTGGAGGCAGGTAGGTATCTGTGAGTTTGAGGCCATTGTGGACTATACAGTGGTTTCTAAGCCAGCCAGGTCTACACAGTGAAACCCAATCTCAAAACAAGACAAAGAAAAAGAAGCAGTGAGACTGTCTGATGGGCAAGAGAGAAAGAACTTGGTGCCACACTGAGGAGTTTAGACCTCCTTACTTAGGAAAATGTGCTGGTTGATATCTGTAAATTTGACACAAACCTAGATGAATCTGGGAAGAGGAAATCTTACTTAAGAAAATGTCCCTATAGGACTGGCTTGTAGGCAAGTCTGTGAAATAATGTCTTGATTAATTATTGATTTGGGAGGGTCCAGCTCACTGTGGGTAGTGCCACACCCTAGTGCTGGTGGTCCTGGATACTATAAGAAAGCAGAATGAGCAAGCCATGGAAAACAAGCCAGTAAGCAGTGTTCCTCCATGGCCTCTGCTTTAGTTCCTGTTTCAGGTTCCTGCCATGGTTGAGTTCTTGTCCTGACTTCCTTATATGATATGCTGTGATCTGAAAGTATAAGCCAAATAAACCTTTTCTTCGTTA